GGTTTCTTTTGAAGGTATTTGAACATTTCTTTGCAAGTGAACCACCAAGGGTATGGAGGAAACCAAGCCAGAGCCAGTTCTGAGGTAGGTAACCTAGGAAATTTAGGTGGATGCATTTCGAGTGCCAACCTATACCTATCCTCAGGTGACAACCCTGAAGGAAGTTTGAGCTTAGAAATTTTTTCTTTAAATTTTTCCTTCAAGGTCTCAGCCGCTTGATGCACAGTGGTTTCCAAGTGTGTGGGATCATAAGTGGTTTCGAAATAATTTTGAAAAGCCCTAATCTCTTTTGCGTGAGTGAACATACCTTTCTTGGAGTGTACCTGCACATCGAACGCATCAGTTAGTTTCTATTGAATGGAGAGGGTATCGAACATATAAGATTGGTAGAACTTAGTCCACCATTCCAGAAAACCCTTCGCTGTGAAGTGTGTGGGTTCAAAGGGTAGTAGTTCAAATTGAGCGAAGCCTTGATATTGTTCCTGTTGCAGTTTGGCTTCTCTTGCTTTAAAGGTTCGACCATAGGTGATGGCACTCTCTGTTTGGAACAGAGGTTCAGAGATTAGTTGGCACAGACCAAATTATCTAGAAACAAAGTTAGGTTGATAGGCAAAGAGGAAGATTTGATTCTTGGAAGGAGTGATTCGCGAGGAAATTAATCTAGGAAGCAAAAAGGCTTTCCAAATATCTTGAATTTCTTTGCTTTTAACTGCTTCTGAAAGAGCCATGGTGAACCATGATGGTCCATGAGTCCTTGAAGCAAAGGGTGCCATGGTCTCTTCAAATTTGTGTCTTTTGGAAAAAATCATGATGTATTTTGAGAAAATGACCTTGAAGTCATCTTTGTCATCATTCGGGGTCAGTTTTCTCAACCTTGTACCTTCAATAATTTTATCCGCTATCTCCGGATCTTGTTCAACAACAGTGTCAGCAGTTGATAGTGAGGGTTCAAACATGGCATTAAGCCATAATTGGAGTAACCAGAAGGGGCCAGCTAGAAGGATGTTTTTGGGAGTATGGGATTTCAAACTCGAAACGACTGATCTTAAGCTTTCGTAAAGATCAACAAGTAACAATTAGCTCAAACATACCCTCCTATTCTCGTGTAAGTCTCTAGCTAGAGGGATGAACCTGCTTGCTACCTGTAAGGACCTGCTGCAGAATACGTATCTGGATAACCATAAAGTGAGGAAAGCAATATGTTCCACATCTGACACACTATCTCCTTCAGTGTGGTAATGGCTGATGAATTTGGAAAAACTAGCTAATTTGACATCAAAGTCAATAATGCTGGAGTGTTCTTCGTTATCAGGGATGTAGGTTTCTCCTACTGGTGACAAACCAGTGATGGCTGCTATATCGAAGAATGTGGGTGTTATCATTCCCCCAGGGAGATGAAAGGTGTTGTAGGTGTTGTCCCAGAAATATAAGGACGCAAATAATAATGGATGACTATAGGTGAAGCCTGGTTTCGATAACTTAATCAAATTATAGATTCCTAATTCCTCCCATTGCTGGGATTTCTTGGCTTCTACTTTGGTAAACCAGTTTTGGTAAGCTATGTCAGAGGTAGGGCAGGATCGGAATGGTTTAAAATTGCTTTTCACGTAGTCTAGCAGAAAGGGGTCTTTTGGGGGAACGGTTGGAGTTTCTATGGTTGTCGAATCAGAAGACTCGCCTATCTTAGGAATATCCATCTTATTAAACAAATGCTTAAAGTTGTAACAGACATGGAAGATTTTTCTAGTATCTTTTAAGATTTCAAAGACTGTAAGAGGACCCATTAGAGCAAACCTCTTTCCATCAGCGTTAGTTGGAATTAGTACCTGAGAGGCGTAAAGCATTTCCTTTTCTTTGGAGATCATTTGGGGGATAAGCACAGATTGACCTTGATAAGTACCAACCTTGCTTTCCATTATTGTTCTTGTGTTCTTGCCTTTATTTTTGGAAGTCTTCTTCAGTTGGGATGATGTTATAGAAGACATTGTTGAAGATTGTTGGAAGTTTTAGGGTTTCGGCAAGAAGAAAGGGAGAAAAGTTTCAGAATGTGGAAAAGAATAAAAGACTAAGTTGATTGGTTTTTATAGTGTGGAAGTCTAAACATCCACTAAGTGAGACTAAGATACGTGGGAGTCGTGGGTTGGATTGAGAAGGAGGTGGCGTAAAGGCTGATATTGGTAATAGGCGTGATTAATAATAATCATTGTTTTATAACTGCACCGTGCTGTGAAGTACTGATTCAAGGTGGTTAAGAAATCCAAGAAGCGTCGTGATTGACGTGACTGGAGTCATACACAATAAATGTTACGATTACTCAAAGGTCACATCAAAATCTTGCAAATATATTTAAAATAAGTATTTCTCAAAAGATCGAAATACATATTTTAAAGGGGTGTTTTGTTGGCTGAAGATTTTGATGATACAGTTCGAAATGAAGCAATATGGATGTTTCGTTGGAATAAAGCAGAATGTTACAATTCGGAATGGTAGAAGCGGTTCTTCGAGCGGGCATATCTAAGCACGGAGCTTCAAGTGACAGTTGAAGATATATTTAAAAGAGGCCTCGAAATGATATCGAGACTGTGTTTGTGAAATGAGTTTGAAGCAAAGATTACCAAGGCATTTGAAATTCAAACGCGAGCGGGATGTTGGAATTCAAATATATATGCGCTGGAGCATTCGAAGACGCGTGGAAGCCAGAGAGGGGCAGTGCTCTGCATGTTCTGAACGTGGCAGAATCTTATAGGCAAGACCGTTATGGTCGAAGTAGTATAAATAGAAGTCTTAGCGTTAGGATTTCATGTGTCATATCTTTTGTACAAAATTCAGTAAACATTCAAAATACCACATGGCTAGGGAAACGAATGCTCGAACAATGTACGTATGATAACACCAAATATTTATAATTCAGTAAAACTCTTTATCTTTTCCAGTTTATCTTTTATCTTCATGCTTTTGTCATTCAAATACCTTTTCATTCAAAGTCATTTACTGATTTCTTGCATTTAAACGCTTTTCTTCTATTTCGAATCCTTTACATTTCAGAAACTCTTTTCCAGTTTATCTTTTATCTTCATGCTTTTGTCGTTCAAATACCTTTTCATTCAAAGTCATTTACTGATTTCTTGCATTTAAACGCTTTTCTTCTATTTCGAATCCTTTACATTTCAGAAACTCTTTTCCAGTTTATCTTTTATCTTCATGCTTTTGTCATTCAAATACCTTTTCATTCAAAGTCATTTACTGATTTCTTGCATTTAAACGCTTTTCTTCTATTTCGAATCCTTTACATTTCAGAAACTCTTTTACGTTTCATGCTTTTATACTTCAAAGTTATTTACTTGTTTCTTGCATTTTTATATTTCTTTGTAATCGAATCTTTATTCATGCAATTTAGTTTCGCATGTCTTTACTTGATCATGTCATTAGATCCTTTTAATATGGTAATCGAAGTGAGTTAAACGTCTATAAAACATTCCAAATACAAATCCTAACTATGAATATCAGTTTTACAATTAGAGTCATCCAAACGACCAATACCCCATAGGATCAATCTAGTCGATCCTGCAAGTTACTAGAGAGATTAAATAACAGTCATTAAGATTATTTGATAGTTTGGAGGACTAGCGGTTGTTTACCAGAAATCACTGTAAACAAATTGGCACGCCCAGTGGGACCGTCATTGGTCGTTACGAAATTTAGAACAAAGTAAAGATTGTGGGGACATAATCAAAGTAAAAGTGTTTTTTGAGTGATAAGTTTGTTGTTATATGAACCTTAGAAGTGGTAGAATAACCAATAGCAATCAACCCTTACCCAGAAGAAAACGTTTAAACAAGATGTCTAATCCAGACAATCAACAAGGGGAACAAAATATCCCACATGGAACAGGCGCTAATATGTCCGCTTCGACGGGAACGTCTATTGTGATCCCTTCGAACGCACAGTCTGTTGCATCTTCTACCAGTAGTGTAGCCACGAATGAAACGAGTGGCATGTCGACTAACAGTTCGATCCTAGGAAATACAGGAACCACTGGTTATCCTGGGGGATTCGTCCCACCATCAGGGACACAAACCCATTTCGCCACCCCACTAACAAGACCACCCAGTTTCGATGGTAACAGACACAGAAATCCCTCTTATGGGATGCCAACATCTTTTATGGCGGGTCTGCACACTTCGACATCGAATACGTCACCACAATTAGGGTCTGGGTCTGGGGCAAATAAGTTTACGACAAATAACCAAGGGTCAGTAGGTTATAGTGCAATGCCTATCTTAACCATAGAAAATCAGTTGGCCTTTAGACAATTAATGGATGATAGTAACCATAATATGATAGGAGTGTTAGCGCAAACTATGCAAGAGATCTTTGCCCCAATAGTGCAAAATGTAACTGTAACAAACAGAGAAAACGCGGATAACATGAGTCAAATAGCGGATTTCTTCGCTCCGCCAGAAAGGCGTAGACAGTTTATCTTTTATATATTATTTCCAAAATACAAACTCAATATACTAACAATAAATTTATCATAAATTGATTAATGTTTATTCGAATATCTCAAGCTGATTTTTTAAAAGTTATTTTTATGACATGTAGCCTAATCTTTTAAATAAGTAGGGTTTAAAAAAGTCTAAATCTTAATTATTTAAATAAAAAACCTAACCAGCAAATGGTGACAATTGTTACAACCTATATTAGTGACAAACGGCAAATAATTCAAGTACACAATCTCACAATGACATGTTTAAAAGTAAATCAAATTAAACTGCATATGATTGAAAGATGTAACTGAAACTGAAATAAATTATTAATATAATGTTTTAATCAATTTCTCTTGAAAAGGATGTTGCCAAACAAATAAAATAATTCGATACCAAAATTTGAGCTGAGTTATGAGAAAAAGGCCAATGCCAACCTCAAGTGGCAACAACGATTAGATAATTTGGTCTGGTTTACTTCCCAAATTCTTCAGCAGAAGTGGCTATAGCTACCAATCAATCGGGAATTTCCCCTTCCTCCAATTGCTCTGTCTGCTCAGCCTGATGGAGCTTGTCAATGGCGGCAAACACGTCTATTTCTTCTTCATCTTTCTTTGGAAATTCACAATCAAAATCTGGGAAGATTGAGGGATTCAAGTACATAAGATCATAGGAATCATCATACATTAAATCTTGTTCAAAGTCAAACATCGCAGATTCAGACAATTGTTGCAAATCCGTGTCTATGAAAGATGGGGGCGAAAGGTTTCCCTCAACGTCTCCTTCAAACACGGGTATATCTGATGAATCATTTGGTGCTTTCTCGGAAAGCATATTTTCAGTAAGCACTTTTTGTAATGGACTTGATTCTGCATGCTTCAAAAGATCAAAAACCTTAGGATCATCAAAGTTGCTGTCATCTTCGATCTCCTCTTCCCGGAACGATGCACCTTCTGGAATTTGGTTAACTTCACTATCTTTCTGCGGTGAGTTAGGTGTACTAGGAATTACGTTCTTAATAACTTCAAAATTGATAGTGTGAGACGGCAAGAAAACAAAAATAACAGGATACTCCAAAATGACAACATTTTCCAGTTGTTGTCTGATTGGTGCTTTCATATCCAATTCTTTGAAGGGTGACTTGGGACCCTACATTAACATAAACAAAATGAAATTTATAACTAAAATAAAATCAATTTCGATGTAGTCAATTAATTACCTAAGGGGATGTTTTTAAAGTTTCAAGGACTAAATCTATATTGAACGAATAACATTGTAGAGATGATCATAACAGTTTCATTTCCCATGGAAAAATCCTCTATCCAAACATACCCTAAAACTCTACCAGCCTTTATGATTTCAACCACATAAAAAGTAAAAAAAACCACCTTTGGATATTTACGAATGAAGAGCTTGAGACGATCTCGCTGGTCACAAAACTCCTTTAGTTGATGATTCCAAGGACCTGGCTCGAGGTGCTTCTCTAGAATGGTGTCAAATCTTGAATTTTCATGAACTCTGGATGAAATTTGTGTAGCATTCTTTCAAAATTGTATTCTCTAAATTCTTAAGCATGTAAAATAAGAAGATAAGGCGCATCATCGAAATGGCTTACCCATGGTTGTGTAAAACAATATTTGTTGAGTGAAAACGCCATTCTAATGTCCAATGTATAGACTTGTTCCTGAAAGCACAAGATAAACATATTTGTAATCTATTTGAAACAAAAGCTTCCACCTCAATAATTTAAAAATGAAACAATCCAATAATCGAGCAATGAGCAAGAAATAGCAGTATGTTGAAATTCCTCCTAAAACAAGAAATTTTCTCATGAAAGATGATAATACCAATTGTCAAATCGAGACCGATTATTCTCTCTTTTTGACATTCCATTAGGGAGAAACAACAGTTTTGTGCTCCGGCTTCCAGCAGCATGTTGCAGGCTTTTGAGGTGTCGAGGTAGCTTAAAATATGTAGACGCACCTAACTTCGTTCTCGTTCTCGAAGCAACTTCAGCCACTCTCTTCACTTCCTCCAGCAAATTATAATCTAGATGCAGGAAAGAATAATAACAAGAAGCATAGAAAATTAGAAAAGAACCTTGAATTTTAGATTAAAAAAAAAGTAGTAATGTAAAATATTACCAGATAACAAAATATTGTCATCAAACTGTGAAATCGGAACAAACAGAGTCTGGTTCCTCTTGCCATTACACCCGGTCCGAACTTTGTGAGCCTTTACGCAAGGAAGACTGCACGAATTTATCGAGCAACCCGGACACTTGTACTTTGAGGGGTTAGATTTGCATTCTTCACATTGGATTCGCACGGTTCTATTTGAAACATTCTCTATTTGTTCTTCTCTTTGGGAAACAGAAGCAGGCATGTTTATTTGTTCTTCTCTAACGGAGTGAAATCGTAAACCTAATTTACCTATTATTGAAACACTGAAAAAGCATCTATATGTGATTAAATTAAAATAGAGTTGCAATATCAAAGAGTTTTTTAAACGGTAGCCGCCGTCGCGAGTTTCGTGACTGCTGCGATGAAGATTTTTAAGAACTAAGAAGTTTTAAAATATAATGAAAAGAGGAAAAGCTGAAATTTCTTCTCACAGTTTCTGGTGGCTGCCGTTTAATTTCGGTGGCGTTATCGGCGAGGTTTTGCAGAAAGTTGAGTTGTTCTGATAATTTACCAGTTGTTCAGGGAACTACGTTGGGCTTGGGCCACCAATTTTATCCTGCCACTCCCAACCCTAACCTGCCACCCCCCATTATTTTAGATAAAAAGTACTAATGTACAATAACCATACATTTTTACTCACATTTTCGAAATGTCTCATTAAAATCCATAATTTACACGCAACTTACTAGCATTTTTGAAAATTTTGGTTAAATGGTATGGAGAATTTTTTAATGTCCTGCCATGTTTTTACACACTTATTCTCACTATATTATCTTTTTCACTCAATAATCTTATATTATCATGCTTTTAAATAAATTTTATTTTTGTCACAAAGCATCCGTCAAGTGAATGGGTAGAGCTGTTGGAAATATTTGACATCTGCAAAAGCAATGAGCGAAACTGGTGTAACGTGAAGAGGGTTCGTCCATCCAATGGACGGAAGTGTTGTAACGTGAACTTTTTTTCTTTTTTAAATTAACTTATTTGAATTATATATATAAGTTTTAATTATATAAGTTTTAATTAAAATATGAAATAATAATTAATTTAAAATATAAATTAAAACAATAATACTTAATTCATTAAATTAAAAAAATTTGAAAAAATTATAAAAAAATATATCTATTGTCGATTTTGACCGGGTCGTGTCAATCGTTGGTGAGTTCCACAAGAAGGAATTTATCTGGTACGTTGTCCTATTCTGCGATTTACTTCTTCATTTTGTGGTTGAGTTGAAGGTCCCGCGTCATATCCGTCCATTAAAAATTCCTCAATCATTTCACCATTGGTATAGTTTGTCTCGGTTGCACTGCCATAACTTAATTTGGTTCCCTCCCAATTCCAATTTGGTAGGGGATTAGTAAGCATTGGGCTATTTACTAAGAGTTCGTAACAATCTTGGGAGGTAAATTGTTGTGGCTGAGAAATAGGTATTTATTGTTGGGGTGTTTGGAAGTTGGGGTCATGTGGGGTTTGTAGTGTTAATGATGTTTGTGGTAGACTGTTTGATGTAGACTGGGTAAAATATGAATATTGTTGTTGAATGCTCCATTGGGTGGGGTTAGATAAAAATATTATTGTTGGGTACCCCATTGGGTGGGGTTAGATGAAGGGTTTTGTTGATGGTATTGTTGGCTTGGGGTAAAAGGTGCTTGTGTTGGGATGAAAGGTTGTTGGGTGTTAAGGAAAGGTTCTTGGTTGCTCATGAATAGTTGTTGGGTGTAAGTGCTTGATGATGGTCTGGTGTGTTGGACGTTTGAAGATGTTGGCAGATTACGAGGGTCAAATAAGAAATTATTTGGTGACAGATACAAATTTGTAACAGACTTATACCATTCCATGTATTCCTTACTTGCTTTACATTCTTCTTACATGAAATTTCCTTGTAAGAATTTATCTTTGCGGTTATGCCATTGACGACGCTCCTATTTGTAATGATCTTTCCAATTGTTATATGCTCATTGGTCGTTCACCATGCTTTTGTGATACTCCTTCATGCACTTTGGAGCATCCGGTATTGCCTTGCAGAATACCAAATTGGAGTTTTATCTGACCTGTATGATGCATTTCAACTGTAGTAAAACAAATCAAAAATGTTTTTAAACTCCACACGTGACTATGAGTCAGATCCATATCTTCAAGTCCTAGATAGGGCTTCCACGTAAATTGTTATAAAAAATCAGTTATTAGTTTAACGAACTATATAAAATAATTATTATTATTAATACATGGTTAAGAATATTACATTAGCTTCTTCGAAATGATCGATGAAAGTACGATAGCCAGGTGCATAATTGTTGTACCCCAAAATTTACCCTTCCATATTTCTCAACACATGGCAAATGAGGTCCCCAAATTGCTCAAGGAAGTTCAAGAGTTGACCAGACAAACTCTCTCCTAAGACAGTATACCTCAAATTAGGGTTTCCATCTTCATCAAGATGTGTGGACCACAAAGGACTCAAATGCTCACCATTGTCCTAATATGTTCCCAAGATCATCCATGTCAAGTTTCAAGCCTTGCAGAAGAAGTTTGCTCAGTCAACTGCTCAAATGCCTGAAAATCAACTGTACTAGGTCAAAAGTCAACTGTGGCCCACATACAGTCAAACTTCAAGATTTTTGGTCAACATCCTCATTTTGAAGTATTATCCATCATTTGATCAAGGGTTGATCATGATTCCTCAAGGATTGCTCACAATTCATCAAAACCCAAAAGTTGCTAAATTAGGATTTTACAGGAAAAATCAACTCAACTTTGACCAAGCATAACTTTCTCATACTTTATCAGAAATGACCCATCCAAAGCTCATTTTGAAGAGGATTCAGTTCCCTCCAATTCATCTTCAGCTAGGAGCATGCCACTAGAGTAAGGATGTCCACATCAGTAAAGTTCTAACAATATGTAAATGCACATTCTTTTCCATTGGTCTCCTTTGTCAGTTTCTAAACGTGCCATCCAAGCACGAAACTTAGGGCAATGCAAAGGTGGAGAAGTTCTAAAGTTCATGTCAATGTACTTGAGAGAAATGGGGTTTGGAGAAGAAATTATGGGTTTGATAACAGTGCTAGTAGGAAAAAAATGTTTCCTTATCGTCTACATAGATTTCGGAGGTTGCATCTGCAAGAAGTGGCTCTAAAAAAGCCAGGGGTTTTTCTTCAAGAGAAAAAGGGATAAGTACCTGAGATTGCCAGATTTTGGCTTTCTCCTCAACAAATGGAGGTTCCAGCACATAAGCTTTTCTGTCGACGAGGCGTAGTTGAAGAGCGATTGCTGGAGAAGAAGTTTGATTATCAACATTCGACATTGTAAGAAGTTTGAAGGAGGATGAAGATGGGGAACAATGATGAAATTTGCAGGTTCTGCATTTTTCTGAAGGAAGGGTGTGAAGAAGCAAAGAAAAGTAGAATAAAAATGAGAAATAAGGGTATTTATAGACTCTGAAAGGAAGGAATAAATAATGGGGAAAATCTTTGTGATTTCCTAAGTTTAAATCGTACCATTTGAGGGACATGTGCTGCAAAATTAACGTGAGTTAATGGGCTACATCTCCCACTAAAAGAGCAATGATGGCAAAAATTAAATGTCACACGTCTCAAATCTGAAAAGCGTGATAAGTTACCATGATTACATGATGTCACAAAAAAGGCGGAACAATAACGTTCACTTTTGGAGGGATGGAAACAGTTTGGTCAAATGGTAAAACCGACGCTTCAAATATTCCATTATCTCATATGAATCGAAATTCGAAAATGGAATCTCTGGGGGTCATTTTGTTACCTTGAAAAATATTAAGGTATTCAAGCACGTGTATTAAATGAGGATATTCTCATAAGCTAAGGGCCATCCTCTAAAGTAGGGGTTTTTGGGAAATTGGAGCCAAAGTGTTTGAAATTTTGGTTTTATTAAACTAGATTTAATGTTTAAAGGGAAATTTTGGTTTTTGACTTCGGCAATGACGATCAAGGACTTCGACAAAGGTTCATCCGAGCTTGGAGGATGCCCAACAAGGTGGACAGTAAGACCTTGGGACAGAAGAATTCCACCCCCCTTGAGCCTTACCTCAAGTGGGTACGAACCCGCGCCCAAAGTCTTATGATGCCTTACCCCTACATTCTTCCTGTGATCAAAGAGCCTGTTATGGAAGGAAAGGTTCCATACACCCTCATACATCCTGACATGCCAACATCACTTGAAGATTTACAAAGGAGTTGGATACAGCTCAAGGGAGAACGCGATACTTTTGAAGCCCAATTCTACGCCAGTGAGAAGAAGGTTTTGGAACTTACTCGCCAACTTCACGAAGAGCAGACTCTCAACACCTACATAGCACCAAAGAGGATGCACAACGTCTTTTTACATTAGAATTTTGTATTATTTTTCCCATGGGGCATTTATGTACTAACAAATTCTTCTTATTAATATGACGCGTGTTCTTTTTTGTTTGCAAAAAATTTGAATGTCTGGATCCTTGAATGCATTACATGAATAACACATCATTCATAATATGCATAAGCAAGTCTTCACACCAAGTTTCCTTATCTCTCTGTTGTTTATTTCAGCAAGATGGATATAGAGCAGACGGTCAAAGACTTACAAGCGCATAATTCACAGTTCCAACAACTACTCATGACCTTGGCTAAGGGTCAGGAGGATCTCAAAACCTTGCTGGAAAAGGAAAAGGAGAAAAAGAAAAAGAAAAGGGTTGGTGTGGCTACCTTGGGTAGAAGATTTGAAGGCCAAGCTAGAAGGGTCCTGGATTTCCCCTCAACATCTGATGAAGGGGTAGGAAAGGGTAAAGGAACAACAGTGAAATCTGAGTATGAGGAAGAAGAAGATGAAGAGGATGAAGATTATTCAGAACATCAGTACCCTCCTGCAGACGACAAATACAAGAATTTGGAAGAGCGTCTGGCAGCTATGGAGGTACAAAGAGTGTCTGGGCTAGACTTTGAGGAGCTAGGGTTGGTGGCTGGGATTGTGATTCCCCCTAAATTCAAGGTGCCTATATTTGCTAAATACGATGGTTTGTCTTGTCCAAAGATGCATCTGCGATCTTACGTCAGAAAAATTCAACCGCGTTCTTCTGACAAGGACCTGTGGGTTCATTTCTTCCAGGACAGTCTTTTGGGGAAGCAGTTGGATTGGTTTTACCAGCTAGAGAGGTCTGACGTGCACAATTGGGAGGATTTGGCGGCTGCT